TAATTTTTTCAATCTTCCCTTGTAGGTCATGTTTTCTATACCTTTAATTGTTTTTGTTGCTCTTCTCTGGATTTTCTCCAATTTGTCCACGTTCTTCCTGAAATGTGGTGCCCAGAACTGGACGCAATACTCCTGTTGAGGCCTAATCAGCATGGAGTAGAGCAGAAGAATTACTTCTCGTGTCTTGCTTACAACACTCCTGCTAATACATCCCAGAATTATATTCGCTTTTTTTGCAATAGCGTTACACTGTTGACTCATATTTAGCGTGTGGTCCACTATGACCCCCAGATCCTTTCCGCAGTACTCCTTCCTAGGCTGTCGTTTCCCATTTTATATGTGTGCAACTGATTGTTCCTTCCTAAATGGAGTACTTTGCATTTGTCCTTATTGAATTTCATCCTATTTACTTCAGACCATTTCTCCAGTTTGTCCAGATCATTTTGAATTTTAATCCTATCCTTCAAAGTACTTGCAACCCCTCCTAGTTTGGTATCGTCCGCAAACTCTTTATGTCATTATCTAAATCATTGATGAAGATATTGAACAGAACTGGACCCAGAACTGATCCCTCATCACTCATTATGCCCTTCCAGCCTGACGGTGAACTACTGATAACTACTCTCTGGGAACGGTTTTCCAACCAGTTATGCACCCACCTCATAGTAGCTCCATAGTAGCTCTAGGTTGTATTTCCCGAGTTCATTTATGAGAAGGTCATGAGAGACAGTATCAAAAGCTTTACTGAAGTCAAAATCTACCACATCTACCGCTTCCCCCCATCCGCAAGGCTTGTTACCCTGTCAAAGAAAGCCATCAGGTTGATTTGACACGATTTGTTCTTGACAAATCCATGCTGACTGTTACTTATCGTGTTATTATCTTCTAGATGTTTGCAAATTGATTGCATAGTTATTTGTTCCATTATCTTTCTGGGTAGCCCTAGAAGACTTTTGGGAAACTGGCAGATTACTACCTCTCTGCTACTTTTTGACATTATGGATTGTGACTCGCCTGTACATATATTTTTATCTGCTTTAACCTCTCAATATCTCTCATTCCTTTTTCCTAGCTAATAAACCTTTAGTTAGATTACTATAGAATTTTCTACCAGCATTGTCTTTGGTGTGAGATCTAGGATGCAAATTGACCTGGATGAGTGACTGGTCTCTTGGGACTGGGTGTAACCTGAATATTTTGTGATTTTTGGTGTAAGTGACCATTCATCACATAGTTCAACTTGCCTGGTTGTCAAGATAGACATGTGGAAGGGGACTTGTCTGTGACTCCATTATAAGACTATTGTAGTACTTTGGGCATTCACATTTGTTACTAGCATGGTGAGATCTAATTATAGAACATACCACCAGTTTGGGGGTGTCTGCTCGGGGTTGAAGGGAACTGGCAGCTGGGTTCCATTTCTGCATCAGGCAGCTTTGGGATGGAACATGAAGAACCCACACCAGCAATGTAAATGAGACAGTTACATTTGGGGATATGTCTTGAATGGAACTGGGAGAAACTTTTTGTGCTGAAATTCTTTCTCGCTGAAAACCATATGTGACATTACACTCCATATTCTTTATGGAAATATGCTTATGACAGAACTGAGATGTACTTTATTCAAGATGGCTCATGTAAGGTATCATTGGAAAGGTTATGATTTACTGAATGTGAATATCTAATTTGTATGCATGTATCATTTGTGTATCTGAAGCTGGGAATATTGACCATATGAGCTACATTGGATGACGCCAAACAATGTTAGTGGCTTACTGAAGAATTGTACACAAGCATAATGACAGGTTTCAGAGTAGCAGCCGTGTTAGTCTGTATCCGCAAAAAGAAAACGAGTACGTGTGGCACTTTAGAGACTAACAAATTTATTTGATCATAAGCTTTCGTGAGCTACAGCTCACTTCATTGGATGCATTCAGTGGAAAATACAGTGGGGAGATTTATATAAATCAATTTTAAAATGATTTTTTTCAGTATTTCTGGCAAATTGAAAAACCAGAAGAAAATTCACTTTGGGTCAAATGAAGCATTCAAGATGTTTCACTTCAGAAATATTGAAATGAACCATTTCAGCATTTCCAATTTGTTTTTCTCCTTCAACTGAGACAGTTTGACAAAATAGACACAAATTTGCAACACCCAAGTCTATGTGGCGACAGGTTGGACCCCCTTCTAGGATGCCACCTGATCTACTGGGATGTCACTGAGCCTCTCCTGCTCAACCAGCCTGGGTTCCCTCTCTCCGCTTTGCTGGATTAGGCTCTTCGGCCTCTTCCAGCACACACGTAGGTAGGGCCACACCCCGCTGCAGACACAGACTGAAGTCAGCTCGGTGTCAGAGGACTCCCCCAGCACTCACGTGCTCACCCCTTTTGGGAGGTAAACCCCAAATAATACTGTCCTGCGCTGCAGAGAAAAATCTGCACAGCATAAGCTCATAAATTTTTTGCCAGAAGCTGGGAATGAACGACATGGGATGGATCACTTGATGATTCCCTGTTTTGTTCATTCCCTCTGGGGCACCTGGCATTGGCCACTGTCGGAAGACCGGATACTGGGTTAGATGGATCTTTGATCTGACCCAGTAGGGCCGTTCTTTTGTTCTTATGTAAATCCGCCCTCTTCCTCAATGTGAAGAGAGATATGCATGATTTCTTGCCCCACCCCAGTTAGAAACTGCAAAAACTGGGTTTAATAAAATACAGTGGAAAATACAGCGGGGAATGCTGGGGGAGTCATCTGAAGTGAAACGTCCTGAATGCTTCATTTGACCCAAAGTGAATTTTTTTCTGATTTTTCAATTTGCCAGAAATACTGAAAAAAATCATTTTTAAGTTGACCCACAAGGAGTCCCATCGTCCGTCCCCTTCCCCCCCCCCCCCCCCGTTTTTGAGAACAGCCAGCGAACCAATAAAACCAACAGTATTTTTGTGCACTTTTAATCCCAAGCACTTCTCTTGCTGGCCTTCCTCATGCCTGTTAGGCTGGGCCTGTGCCTAATGGGGTGATCGTGTGGTACAGGAACTGGTTTCTCTTTGAGAAAGGGGAGAAGGACAGCAACAAAAATATGCCTCGCAGAAGCACCCCTAGAATGCTAGGGCTGGCTTTGTTTCCTAGCATTTTCAGCCCTTTCTGAGGCGGGGCTGAGCTGGAGGGTGTTCACTCAGGCAAGGGTAGAAAGTCTGAAGGGTCTGGGCGGGAGTGTGGAAGGACGGATGGCTTTTCAGAGGGGTTGGATGGATTTGGTGGAATTTTAGGGGTAGGGAAAGCGCGTCGTACAAAGGCTATATCACATATCACAGGCTGAGGCAGAACAGCTTGGAGCAAGTCTTTTGTTCAAAATGTGACAGTTTATCCCCAAAGCACTGCTCTCAGATTGAACGTCTCTTTTGATCCAAGCAGGGGTGGGGGACCTTTTACTGTTGGAAGCATCAGTTCTCCATTTGGGATGTACCTGAGGGGCCCCCCACCCCAATGTCCCTGCTTCTATAATGAGGGCTGGCATCTCTCTCTCCTCAGGATTGTATCCATGTTCTCTCCTACTGCCCCCTTCCCATTGCTGTTCTCTTTACCCTTTTTGTCTCTCTTTCTAAATACAGTCTCCCCATTTCCCTTTCCATTTTGATTGACATTTTTTCTGCCTGCCTCTCTCAGCGGCCCTCGGCTTTCAGCCTCTTTCTACCTCACCCACATCATCCTCCTGCCTTTGATTCCTTGTCACTCTACCAACCCAAGATACTGCCATGTGCAGGGACAACATGGGGAGAGACAGTCTCTGCTGGAGTTTCTCTGTGCACTCACAGCATGCGGATTAGGTGGGCACAGATCACTGCCTCTGGGAACTTTATTTGAATGTCTAAGCTGTGTAATGAATCTGCTGTCCCCCAGTGCAACATCCAGCCAGCACAACTCCTTAGCACAACACACCTCAAGAGCAGCGCTCCTTGCAACGGGATAGGTTACAGCTGTAAATAGCAATAGCGTGGGGTCCCAGACAATGGTACCCCCCCAACACACACATTGTTTGACCAGGGTGTCAGAAAAGTTTTAAATCTCCAATTCTTGACACAGCCTGCCCTCAAGAGGTGCTGGCCGCCTGGGGTGACGGATTAAAGTTCAAACTGGGGACATCGCTGGAGTCATTTTACAATTTCTTTAGAATTTGATGCCAGATTGTAAATACAGCACACATCTCACTATGTTGTGGCCTTTTCTTAAGTGTATTCACATGTGTGTAACTGTATTAGTCACTGATCGTGTTTGGTGACAGTGCAACCCTGAACAGCAAATGAAAATCATAGGGCAGAAATTCTATTATCCTAGCCAGGGCCAGGCTGAAATTGTCTTTATGCGCCTTTCTGATGCAAGGTGAGAGTTTGGCTGGGTGCATTTTGGATGACAGGGAGCTCCCTCCACATGCCATCCCTTCAATCCATGAGAACAATGCTTTATTTGAGTTACTTTTATTTAAAAAGTAACAAACACTTACATGATTCATTAAAAGTTTGTTACACGCCACCTAATTATCAATGCAATAGAATAGACCAAGACATCTAGTGAGAGCTGGGGCCTGGGTTACACACACTCACAATTTTAATGAAACAGTTTGTGGTTCTGAATGCCTTTCCGTTCTCTAAAGTCGGGGGTTTAATGAATAATAATGATTATCAGACGCCGTGTCGGTTTTATACACATGAGCACTCCCCTAGCACCTGAAATTGTGCTGATATAAAGAAAACTGACAGTAATGAACAGCAGAATTTAGTGTATGAACCATTAACCTGTTTAGGTCGGTGATTTTTTCTGCAGCTAAGATTAAAAAGCAAAAGGTTGCACCAGCATTTCCATGGCTGTCTACATTGATTAGCATATTTAATGCTCTGTTCCTCACTCCATAGAAGCAGACTGTAGATCTTTTTGCCAGTGCATCAGGTATAGTAAATACATGAACACTACAGAAGTGGTGTGTTTCTTCAATACACTCAGGGCTCTTGGAAATGCCAGGCATCTTGTATGAACTGTTGGCCTCATTCCCTGCCACGAGCATATGTTGGGCATCAGGGGGCAAGGTAGGATCCACAGCAGCTCCTTGCTGGACATCCAGAGGCAGCGTGCTCTCGCCACCAAAGGGCATGAAACTATCAGAGAGAGCTTGAGTTACTTCAGGGGTGGCAGCTGCTGGAGTAGCCCCTGAAGATCCTCTGCTCTGAGCTGCAGGTTCACCACCCGGGCTTGGCAAATTGTTGTTGCTTTCTTGGCCCACTGGGGTCCCCTCTGGAAGGATGACAGCAGTTCCAGGACCTGACGGATTAACTCCAGGAAGTGGGGAGACTCCTTGGGGAACCAAGCTGAACCTTCCTTGGACTGCTGGTTTGAGTGCTGTGGCTGGTGAATCATCCTCAACAGTAAAATCTCCCTGCAGGGCTGGGTTTTGTGGCATCCAAATCCAGCGCCCATGCCTATAAAACCGGGAGCCATGTCCCCATAGGCAGGCGCGCCTCCTCCACCTCTCTGAAAAACCCAGGTTGTTTCACCACATTCCCATCATCCTGGTTAGTCAGACTTGCTCCAGCGGTGCAGAAAGCAGCCATGCTTGGACAAAAGCCTCGATATCTGTGGTTTTCATGCAATTGATGAAAGCTGCTGGCTTGACAGCCGTCTAATCACAGAGCAGGCAGAAGCAATAGAAACCTTTCTCACGCAGCCACAGGGGTATCTGTCTGTCTGTCTGTCTTCTGTCTACTAATTCTTCACACTTGTTAATGAAAGAAAATGTTTCTGTGGCTTTTTCATTAAGGTATGGGAAAGGAGTATTTTCCATCTTCCTATACTCCTAATCAGATCTGTTTACGGATTTTTGCTCCATTTTTCTTTAAAAAAAACCAACAACCCCAAACTACTACTTTTTCTGTTGAAGGACATTAAAATTCTATTCAAGGGTTTCAGGTCATCCTATCTGTTTCGTCCAGGGGTGAAAGTAACTTAAGGGACTTACCGGTGCGCAGGGCCAGGGTCCTGAACAGGGGGGTGGGGCCACAACTGGAAGGGGCAGGGCCCTTTAAATCACCACTGGAATCCCATGATAGCGGTAGCTGTGGAGGTGGCCGGGAGCCCTGGGTCTCTGGCAGTGATTTAAAGAGCCCGGGGCAGCAGCCGGAGCCCAGGGCCCTTTTAAATTGCTGGCCTGGGGAAGCTGCCCCCTGCCGATAGGGTCGGCTGTGTACCGGCTCTTGCCGGTACAACGCACCAGACTGTAAGGGCTTACTTTCACCTCTGGTTTTGTCATTGATGGGACACCAGAGCCAAGATCATCAGTGGTATTTAGGTGCCTAAATTCCCTTTGAAATCATTGTGAGATCAACCTTTGAGGATCTGGGCCTTAAAGCCTGATTCACATTTACACTAAGGCCCCTTTACACTGCTCAGGTGTGTAAAGTGGCTGTCAATGACATATAAATTGTAATAATTTAAGTTGTGTAAAGTTCGAAGTAAGCCCTGTATATACACTCTCTGGCAGAGCAAGCTTTTTGGCACAAGGTTCATAGAGCTTTTGCTTAACACTGGATTAAAAAGACAGGTGGGAAAATGTGTAACTCTTCCCCCGAAATACACATAAATACATCTTCAAAATCCCAGATAATCTGGGAGGCCTGTGGTGTTCGATCTGCTAAGAGATCATAAGCTATAATGGGAATGGAGATGAGTACTTTATTGTAAGGTTTGGAGGAAGAGTGTGGTGTCTATTAGTGGCAATAGATTTATCAACGTGAACCCGTTTTTATCACATTTCTTCGGAGCTTGTGATGCCAAGTCTAACAGGAGGACCCCACAGGAAACATATCAAAGCCTGGATCAATCTAGACTAGTGCACACAATACTCTGCTGTTGTTAAAACTTTGGCTGAGATTTTCAAAGCTGCGTAAGGGAGTTGACTGCCCAGTTGCCGTTAAATATTAGGGGGATTGGGGACCCAGATCCCTTTAATGGCTTTGAAAATCTCAGCCTTTCATTTATATGTGTTTCAACTGTAATAGTTCAATTAATATTTTTCTTGGATTGAGGAAAAAAAGAGAGAGACTTGCTCCTTGGTTTGCTATATAGGGCGCATAATACAGCCCAGGGTAAAGCTGGACATAAAAGAAAGTAATCGTTTAAAAAAAGTTGTCTGCTTTAAGAAAAAAATGTTAAAATCAGACAGCGGCACAAGAGCAAAGAATGAATTGTGGGGTGGCGATAGGAAGAAGCTTCTTTGTGGCTGTTCTATCGGGTCTTGCTGAGCTACTTGATCTATACCTGGGTACATTTAGAAACGAAAAAAGGGAAACAATATTGCAGTGCAACACAAGACAAAATGGTAGATAACACAATTGCTCTGATAAATGCAAGAAAGATACACAAAGAATGATGAATATATCATAGATACCTTAGTAACAAACAAACAAACATTTGGACTCTTGTAGCAAACAGAAGGGAATTTATGTCCCGCATTGAAAATGGATATTTTGCACATGCTCTTTTGAATTTCTGTTTTGCTGTTAGAGATATAGTACAGAAAGAGGCAGCTCTCCAGTTGGTCATAGCTCCCAAACAGCAGCATGGCAATTTACACCAGTTAAGGGTCTGCCTGTAAGTCTTTGGTACATAGATAATCATGTTCTGGTTAACAGGCAAGACATAAAATAAATATCTCTACTTATGGCCTGATCCAGTTGCTCTGAATACTCTAGTGCTGGTAACTGCAATATAATAATACAAAAATTGCACAATAAATAAAACAGACCTTAAATGCTAAGAGCTAATAAGGATTGAACTAAGCTGACCAAGGCAATGAAAAAGAAGAAAGGTTTCACTATACATTACACCAGCCAGATAAGTTTGGCCTGGCTAGAGAACCTCTGCCTATAGGGGTAGGAGTTTTGCTACCTGACTTTCCTCCACACTATGAGCTTCTGTCATCTTGTATTCCTTTATTCCCTGAAATAAGGTGATAACGGCATTTCCAGAATTATATCCTGGGAAGAGATCAGCCTGTGCTGTGACGTCATTATCAGAAGTCCTGTCCTCTGGAGGGAAAAACCTCTGACTTTTGGAGAAACAGGAATTTCAATCTGGCCCTTCTCATCTTTGGAGCATGATGGGTGCTGGAGGGACCTGCATACAGCCCTCTTCAGCTAGAAGGAGGGTCATAGAATATCAGGGTTGGAAGGGACCTCAGGAGATCATCTAATCCAACCCCCTGCTCAAAGCAGGACCAATCCCCAATTTTTGGTCCAGATCCCTAAATGGCCCCCTCAAGAATTGAACTCACAACCCTGGGTTTAGCAGGCCAATACTCAAACCACTGAGCTATCCCTCCCCCCTCCAATTTACAGGCTGCCAACTGAGCTGGTGTAAGTCAGCATGGTCTATAAAAGTCAATGAAGCCACACTGATGTTCTGTGGCTGAGAAGCCGGCCCTGTTACGGTTATAGATGCACATATTTTTCCCAAAGTTGAGTGACTGTAAAGTGTTTTTATTAGGCTATGTAGAAGAGCATTTCAAATCTTCTGCCCTCAAAGAAGGGACTGGCCCTTTGTATCAGGTTATGCCAATGGATTCCTCCAGTCCCCCCATATACCCCTCATGCCCAGCCTGCCTACTTCATCTCTCCCAACGTAGGCACATAACAAGTAGCCTGATTTTCAGTGGTGCTGAGTCTCCAACTGCTCCCCGTACAGTTGGAAATAAATATTGACTGGTTTCATTTTATGTAGGTACATCCAAATTATTAAATACTGTACAGGCCCTATCCAAAGCCTACTGCAGTCAATGGAAAGACTCCTGTTGACTTCAGTAGGCTTTGGATCAGGGAGTAGATGCAGATGGAAATGGCCTGTTGTTGTCTGCTAGCTAGAACCAGCTGTTCTTGGACTCCCGGCAGTTCTCCTAGCTGCAGTGATGGCTGTCCCTGATGGACATGGTTGGTGCACTTCATTCTGCGGCCTTGCCTTGCAGGCATCTGAGTTGGTTGTGGGAAAGGATTTTGTGCTTGTAATCGAGGTTGTTGCAGTTGAAGAGCCGTCTGCTGTGATAGCAGAGGTGGAGGGTGCAGGGGCAAGGCATATTTATAGTACTGCAGAGAGATGGAAGGAGATGTAGCCATGTTGGGAAGGACGAGGGAGTGTTAATAAATTATGTCACAGATGGAGCATTCTTCTAAATCAAGTTTCAGAGTAACAGCCGTGTTAGTCTGTATTCGCAAAAAGAAAAGGAGTACTTGTGGCACCTTAGAGTCTAACCAGTTTATTTGAGCATAAGCTTTCGTGAGCTACAGCTCACTTCATCGGATGCATACTGTGGAAAATACAGAAGATGTTTGTTTTTATACACACAAATCATGGAAAAATGGGTGTTTATCACTACAAAAGGTTTTCTCTCCCCCCACCCCACTCTCCTGCTGGTAATAGCTTATGTAAAGTGATCACTTTACATAAGCTCACGAAAGCTTATGCTCAAATAAATTGGTTAGTCTCTAAGGTGCCACAAGTCCTCCTTTTCTTTCTTCTAAATCAAGAACATCATTAAAGAAATATCATGGCGTCAGCATATGAAAAAATGAGAGCTCAGCAATGCTGCCTGGAGTGGTCATGTCGAGAATTCTCCCAAGGTTGTTGATTGCATTTCTCAATGTTTATAGCTGTGGTCCTTAGCTTCTTCATACCGTGATCCTTTACGACAACAGAGTACAATGTTGGGCCTCTCTTGCTATAGAGTTCAGGATCCCACTCTCAACTAGCCATGGAGAAAAGGTGTGGTCACAGGCCCACAGATGGACAATCTATGGTTTATAGCATTGAATTGTGCTACACTTACTCTGTATTAGAGTAATTACGCTAATCCCTATTCCCATGCATCATTACAATGCAAACTTTAAAGTCTTGGTCCTGCTTCAGCGCAGGGGGTTGGACTAGGTGGCCCTTCCAGAGTCTATGTGATAACACCCTGTCTGTCAAATAATGTGACAGAACGTAATCACTGTTTTCTACAATATTAGATTCACATTTATATATGAGTAGGGTTGGAAGGATTAGACTTTTGTCCGTAAATGCCAATTTCACTTTACACAGGATAAAATCGATATTTCCATAGATGATCGCTGGTATTTACAGATCGGCAAAGTAAGCAAAATGCTGCTTGAGTACGTATTAGCGTTTGATTTAAGGCTACTTACGCTGTATATGTTGATGTGATGGTGGCACTTTGTGTTTCCATGGTTATAAAGCTTTAACTGTTTGAGTCTCACATCTAGGGTCATTAAATAATTATCTGATCCCCCATTGTCTCCCCCCCCCACACACACACACAATTTCCCACAACTGTGCAAATCTAAATGGCTTCAAAATAAACAGAGATATCATGCACCAAAATGATTTTAAAAAATCCAATTGAGCCAAGCCTATATATAAGATAAACTGTGAACACATAATGGCAGAATCAGAACTGTGTGTTCAGCCCCCAGTTTCCCATTTCCTGATTTGAGCTGTTTAATTCTGCATCCTTAACACTGAATTCACATGTCCTGTTTTACAATTACATTGAAAAGAAAAATCCTTATTTCTCTATAAAAAGTCTTATCCATCTGAGGTATTTCTGTGCCTTCCCATTACCATAGTATCTGAGCACCTCACAATCTTTAATGCATTTATCCTCACAACACCCCTCTAAGGCAGGGCAGTGCTATTATCCCTATTGTACAGATGGGAAACTGAGGCACAGAGCAGCTAAGTGACTCAGCCAAGGTCATTCAGGAAATTGAACCTGAGTGCCCTGAGTCCAAGAATAGGGACTGGACTAACTACTAACTCTAGCCACTGGATATTCCTTCCCCTCCAGTATCTTCTGGATCTTTCAAAGGGCTCAGAGAAGTTTGGTGTCCAATTCAAAGGGATTTGGTCACCTAACTCCCTTAGGCATTTTTTGAAGATCCCAGCTATCCTTGTTAAAATGTGCCTTCATAGTCTGTTTCCTGTGGGTGACTTAATGACATTCATAGGAACATAGCACACCTTTAGTCCCTTATGTGTGCTACCATGCCTCTGTGAGTGACTCATTTTGGATGCTTCAAAGTAAGGCACAAACCCATAATGCACCTAACCTTCCTGAGCCCTGGTTGAGTCACTGAGTACAGTTTCTGGAGTCCTGTCCAGATGGCAATGGCATGAAGAGCTCACCTGTTGGGTCTCATGTGGTCTTCGTTGCAACCACGGAGATGAAGAGTGTGGTGGCAGGAGCCCATGCAGCGAAAATTATATACATGGTTCACCATAGTTGTACCGAGTATACTCAGTGAATAGCAAAAGCAGAGGATTTGTTTTCTGTAGTACTATGCTCATTTCTGACACTAACAGATCTACGTAAGAAGTGATGCTCAGCACCATGTTATGATTCCCCTCGATTAAAACTTGATGGAATTCAGATTGCAAATATGTATCAATAATTTAAGGATCAGGGAATGTAAGAAAATGTACTGACACCTTGGCTTGGTTTTCTTTCATCAAGACCATAAGCACACAATAAATCCTCCCTAATATCAAACTTATTATCCTGCTGGCTGTGAAAGAATGGAGAGATTGCTATTCTTATGTCTATTGTCTGATGCTCGGGAAGCATTTGATACTATTCAGGTGGAGGCCAGATAAGTAGGTATGTCTGTATTGGTGATTCTATTGTGTATTATCAGACCTACTGATGACAGAGAATGAGAAGTCCTTAGAGGAGTACAGGAGGCTCTCTTCACTTAGCTGGGTAGCAGCTAAGCTCTTACTCAATAGCCATAATTTGTTGCCGGGGAAGATTTATGAAGGAAGTTGGGTCAAGGCAGCACTGCTGTCGTTTAGGTCCTGGGTTGTTGAAAATGCCCCTGAACCACTGTGGTGAATGATTTCAGCTGTGGCTCTCAAGATAACAAGCAAAACTTTCATTGATATCCATGGAAATAGTTAGGCCAACACTGAGTACCTTTGAAAATCCCACCCCTTGTGTGTAATATATTTCAAACAACAATAATAGTCGTTAATACTTAGTGTGGCTTCTGTGTTTTCTATATGCCTTTGTGTTTTAGGTGTGTCATGGCAAAATTACAGGTGAAAGCCTCATTCCACTGAAGTCAATTGGAGTTTTGCCATTGACTTCAGTGAGGCTTGGATCTCACCCTACATGTCTTAACAGCATGGTGGTTGATCATGTGAACTTCTGTGGTTATAGCTACTCTAGCCTGTGCTAATTTGCTCAATCAAATGCCACTAGAGGTATTGTCCTATGAGAGAGAGCGCACACGTAATCTGTGTAATGAAGAACATGGACATTGCAGGAAAGCGTGTCTGTGGTTTGACTGATTTCTTCAGTTTCAGCTTTTGAACTCTTTAGATATTGTTCACTCAACGGAATGGGTGTGACTAGATAAACAAAACGGAAAAAAACATACAACTAGTGTAGGAAACGCTTGCGATCCTTGCAATTTTTCTTCTGAGGGTTATATACTTTTAAAATGCAAAGGATGCAGATATATTCCTTAAATGAACATACTTTGTTAAGAAGGAATAAACTGCTATACCACCTCTACAATATCTTGAGATTATCTGAATTTTAGAGAAATAAAGCCATGAGGAGCCAGACTTCCCAAACAGTTCAGCAGCTGGTAGCTCCTACTGAGAACAATAGGAGCTTCAGGACGCTGAGCACTTCTGAAAATCTGGTCCTAGATCTTGACCGTAAACAGCTGTTATCTTGTCAGTATAAACCCAGATGTACAACTTGTGCAGCATAATCACACCAGATACCATGCATGGAATCCAAAGAGAATGACAGATTGTTTTTTGATGTTTTATGCTAATGAACAACTTATAGTTTGATAGACAGATATGACTTACTGGCAGAGCAAAATCTGTGTCTAGGAGGCATATAATCAGCCTCCAGTCATTTAAATTTCAGAGCTCTATCTGAAACAGAAATATGTTGGGAGAATTGCTAATTAGTTTTAGCTCCTGGAAATGAAATAGTGTGCAGTGAATCAACAGCATATTCAATATGAGTGCCATATTCCTTGAAAATCCTCTTAATTTCCAATCACTGAAATTCTGTGGAGTGCTCAAATACACTGTGAGATTACAGGCTGTAATGCATCTTTTATGGGAATGCAGGTATAATTTGGTTTATACTGAAACACTCAAGGGAACATACGCTAAAACATGAAATTTCAATGTTTGCTGACTGATAAATGTGCCTATGTGCTGTTTACAGAATTATTTTTATCACTAATACTCTACTCTGCTTTTTTTGTCTTCAAACATTTAAGCGTCATGGAAGGTACAGATTAATCCAATTATAGCTACAGGTTTTCACAGTAAGGAGACTATCTAAGTAAACCAGAGCTCTGTCTATACTCATGGTGATCGTTTTCCTATGTACCTTCAAAATGAAGGCTCTGATTATTTTTGTTTACTCTATCTGGTGAACAGTACTGGTGAACAGTAGACATGCAGTCCCACAAATTTTAATTCCCCAAAGGAGGGGTGATTACTGATGTTATGTCCCAAGCTGAGGGAAAATTTGCTGACAGCAGAAGCCGGTTTGGGCCAGCTTAGTGCACTAAGTGAAAACAGTAGCCCTAATGAATCAACATCCAACCATGTCTACGCTAGGTCAGTAAAATGAACGTTAACATCACTGATGAATGTTACGTGAACTGCTCTTCCAGAATCTGGTGATGGAAGTAGAGAAAGCTTCACGAGATAAAGACTTCATGTTTTGTTGCAGAACACAGGGGTTTTCAATGAAATTGCAAGGCAGTTAAGGTAAAGCAGATGAAAAGCAATACTTCTTTACAACACCTAACTAGCCTCTGGAACTCTCAGCCATAAGAGATCACTGAGGTTTAAAAGGATTCTTTTATAAAAGATGAAACATTTCTAAGGCTACTGAGAACATCCCCAGTTGTGAGGATGCCAGTTGTTTTTAGAAGGGAGACAAACCCTTATGCATCCAATCTCTAAAGCCTAGAAAGAAATGTCCTCTGTGGTTATTCCATTATTGTCCACTGTGGAGCTTCTTGCAGTTCTCTGAAGCAGCTCATGCTGGCCACTGTCCGAGACAAGATGCCATGTCATCCGGTCCAGCAGTTCCCCTGTTTATATGCTGCACTGAGTTTTCTTATCAGCACATATTCTAAAATAAAGTGGTTATTTACCATGTCCTCAGAGCCCGGCACAGCTCCCTAGAACCCAACCAAGAAACACAAAATCGGAGTTAGCAAAAATTGGGATTAAGGTATAGACATTTTCTTTTCACCTTTAAAAGATGTGAAAATCTTAACAGGTCCACTAAGTGAGATGCAATGGATTCTTCCTTTTGACCATATGGGCCAGAAAGACATTCAGAATTAAAATCGGGACTTTAGGGGGAGCTAGGCGTATATTAGAAAAATTGCACTGGTTTAACTACATCAATTTGAAATTGATCTTGTTAAACCAATGCAACTCCCTAGTGCTGCTGCACTTAAACTGATTAAATCAATTTAACTTAATTCTGTGACTTTCCTGCAAATGTTATATCAATTACAACAAGAGATAAAACAGTTTAATGGCATCTACATTAGGGGTTTGTACTGGTTTAACATGATTGACTTTGAAATCAATATCGTTAAATGGGTGCAATTTTTCTAGCAGATAAGCCCTTATTGGCATCAGAAGATTTAGTTAGCCCTGAATTCTCTCTTCTCAGTAGCCTTGGAACTGATAAGGAACTTACTGGTATTATCCATTGTCCATCTTTAGGAGAAAGCGGAACCGCTGCAGAATTGCATATTTAAACTAGAGTTGGGCAAGCAGCAGAAAAGCGATCTACTAATTGCAGTTTCTCAGTTCATCTCTGACTTGTTCCTTTCGTGCTCCTCTTGGTTTACTCAGCTACATACATCTACCTGAAGCAGGTTTTTGTCAGTATAAACACCTGGATTGGCTGATGTTTGTGAAAATACATGTATTCTTGTGCAAACAAGGTTATCTGATGAATATGGGTGTTCACTGGGCGCTCTGCCAGAAGTGCTGTGCGTGATGCATTCTCACACACACAGTTCAGAGGTTGTTGGGACCTGAATGTCACAGGAAAGGTCATTTGATCTTTATCCTAGAAATCATGCTACTTTGCCCATTCTCATGATGCCTGTTTCTTAGATGGGAACTTTCAAGCATACGTTGTAAAGAACTAGAAATGATGGTTATGGACGTAAGCACACACTCTCAATTTCAATAGCACCAACAACAAGGATATTCTATATTATAGGACATAACGCATCCTCCTTACCTGTGGCCCCATTTGTGCTACTATAATTGGAAACATCTGCATAAAAATAGATAAATAATCAAATGGAGGTTGTTGAGCCAAATTCAGTTAAATCTGTACAAGACTAAGACTGGAGAGACGGACTGGGTAGACAAAGCACTTCACATTCATTTAGCCACATGGCTGCAATGTATTTGACTAAGGAATAGGAAAAGTATTTCATTGACTCAGTAAAAACATGTGAACATATGTGGACTTTTAGGGCATCACAATATTTTGATTATATAAAAAACAACGATAAACTGTATTAGAGAAAAAACGTGGCTGAAATTTTGATCTCTCTCTCTCTCAGTATTCCTGCCCCACCAGCAAAAAGCATCGTTGGGGAGACAAGGAAACAGAACCCCTTGACTTTTAAAGTGCTCTTTAGTGCCGTGTTAATAATTGATTTAATTTTTGGTTTGCTTTTTTCCTGGGGACAAACCAAAAAGTCTATTAAAAAAAAATTCAGTTTAATGAACCAAAACTGTTTTTTTTTTTCTGAAACAAAAGAACAAAATTTTGCTTTAGGTCTAAGCAGTCTTTTTTCAGTGTTTCATTATATCAGAGCAGGGGGAGAGGGAAGCGTTTACCCTTTTTTAATATAAATATAATTCAATTGCAAAACAAAGCATCATTTCAAAATGAAAAGTCAAGCCAGTCATTTCAAAAGGAACCATTTCAAATTCCTAAAAAAAAAAATTTTCAGCCAAACCTATTGGCTGAATTTGTTCTCAATTTGCAAATAGTTTTGGTGGCCTGAAAAAATCATCAACCAGTGAATTTACTATTCGCTGGGGAAAAATTGCCCAGCTCTAGGGCTGCCAACTTTCCAATCGCACAAAATGGAACACCCTAGCCACGCCCCTTCCCCCAGGCCCCGCCCCCACTCACTGCATTCCCCGTCACTCGGTGGCTCACTTTCACTGGGCTAGGGCAGGGGGTTAGGGTGCAGGAGGAGGTGAGGACTCTAAGTGGGGGTGCCAGCTCTGGGGTGGGGCCGGGGATGAGGGGTTTGGGGTGCAGGAGGGGGCTCCAGGCTGGGGGGTGGGGTGAGGGA